ACCTCAAAATCATTATACTAAGTGAAATAAGCCAGACCCAAAAGGACAAAAATTGCACTTACATTAAGTATCTAGAATAGTGAAAGTCATAGGGACAAGAAATAGAGTAGAAGTTACCAGGGGCTGGTGGAAGTGAGGAATGGAGAGTTATTGCTTAATGGGTACAGAGTTTCTGTTTGGGTGATGAAGAGTTTTCAGAAATAATGGTGTGTTGCACAACACTGTGAATTTAGTTAATGACACTGAATTGCACACTGAAAAATGTTTAAAATGACAATATTTTTGGTCATATATATTTTATTACATTAAGAAATTAAGAAAAGTAAAATATTTTTCTGATAAACATATCTTCATTGTATTTAAAGTTTATCAATACTGGGTCAAACTGGGGGAGTGGAGAAGACTGATTAAAAAATATTTTATTGGGAAAATTTATAAGAATTGAAACATGGGAATACACACTACACACAGACGTGCCTTTAAAAGGACTAGCCATGAGATCCCCTTGAATTAGCTTTTCCCAAAAAGATATTAAAATAGTGCTTGGAATTTTTATTCAAAAGGCTAGTGAATTTCTTTCCCTCTATTACCTAGTACCTCACTGGTATAAATCCGCCTATGCAGTTGACATAGTTTTGCCAAATTATTATATATTCTCTTGACCTTCCTTCCTAAAGTATTTATTATAATTGTGTAATAATAGCTAACACTTATATAGCAATTATTGTATTAACTCTTTTAATCCTCTCAACATCCCTATGCAGTAAATATGAAACAAAATAAAAAGATTTAAATAATATGACATCATTTATTGTCTTTTTATAATATTAGAAGCTAATAATATGATTAAAGCAAGTTTCATGTTTCAAGTGTAGTGACTCTGATGGCCATCACTGCTACAAAACCACACAAGTGAAGCATAGAAGCATTTCTATGATTTAACATAGCAAGTAGAATCTAGTTCTAATAGCTATTTTATAAACCTGATGTGTATTTATTCTTATAATAACAAACACAGTTGTTAATATGTATTAAAGTTGTAGGATCTTAATATCAAAACAAAATGAAATAGAACCTGCAAGGAATCAGGAAAACTTCAGCACTGTCCCATGAGTATTTATAGTGAGGAAAGTGGTGCAGAGTGGGTTTAACTCAGGTGGGAAAGCCAAGGAAAGAGCCCAGGCTCTGTTACACAGAAACAGCAATCACATATACTCCACAGCTGAAATCATAAAGTTTCCCAATCGACCCATTAATAATTAAATTTGCTTTCTCAGATAAATCTTGTCAGCCTGCTCCAAGGAAAACTGTCCTTCTTTCTTGGTAGTTTTCAGCTGATCAACTTGCCCACGGACAAAAAAAAACAAAACTCATTATTTTTATGACTATACATAGCTTTCCACTATGTATATCTCCCACATTTTCTGTATCCATTCATTCGCTGATGGACACTTAAGAGTCATTCCAATAGCTTGACTGTTGTGAATAGTGCTGCAATAAACATCAGACTGCAGATACCTTCTGCCAATTGCGACAATATGAATGAACCTGGAGGACATTGTGTTAAGTGAAATAAGCCAGGTATAGGAGCACAATTATTCCATAATCTCACACGTATGTAGAATCTAAACAAGTTGATTCATATAACTGGAGAGTAGTTAAGTGATTTCCGAGGGCTGAGGTGGATGGGGGGAAGAGAGTTGGAAAGATGTTGGTCAAAGGATATGCAATTTCAGTTAGATGAGAGGAATAACTTTAAGAGATCTATCATACAATGTGGTTATAGTTAATAACAATATACTGTATTCTCGAAAAATGCTAAGATAGTGGATGTTAAGTGTTCTCACCACAAAATGATAACTATGTGAGGTAATGCATATGTTAATCAGCTCGATTGGGTGAATCCACAGTGTATGTATACATCAAAACATCATACTGTATGTGATAAACACATATAATTTTATCTGTCAATTTAAAACAAAACAAAACAAAATTATTGTTCTACTACCAGTTTCTTGTTCTTGTTTTAATAAAGCCTTCCTTACTTTTGTCCCATGATAATCAACCTATGTTTGATACAGGGAAAATACTACCTCTCTCACATCTAAGTAAACTCAGCTCAATTTCTAGCCAAACTAAATACCTCTAAGTTATTATTTGAATGTTATTCCAGTAAGCCTCTGAGCTCTTAGAAGCATGCAGCCTGAAAAAGCTTTTGATCCAGACCCACCATGTTCTGTCTTGCCTTTGCTCACTTCCCCAGTGCACGCCATTATACAGGGATCAAACTCATGGGCTCTTACACGCTGAACCTGGCTCTTAGTCATTTGTGCTTTTGTTCACAGCTGCAGTTGAAGTAATGTTGGAAAACTGTTTTCTATGGTCTCTGACAAGTTACAGGTAACTGGGAATCTGCCTGGCCCTTTATCTTTGTCTTAGTTGTTTGTCTGACTGTCGTAGAAATTCTGATATCTCCTGATATCTCTTAACCAGATGATGAGATAAGGGTGTAGTTAGATTTTGGCTGGCCTCAGTCTTGGGGCTGAGGAATTGCCCTTGTCACATCTGCTTGATTTGTTAACTTTTCCAACCATTGAAAGAAACTTCATGTTGTTTGTCTTATGATCTATAAATTGCTTTGGTCAGTTATTTTTAGGTCTTCATACTGAAAGGGGTTTCCTTAGAAAATAAAGATATGTAATTTATTTGTTACTGTGTGGCAAACCACCCCAAAACACAGGGCCTTGAAACAACAACAGTTTCGCCAATTTTTGTTGAGTTTCTTCTTCTGATCTTGCCAAGCATAACTCAGGCATTTGCAGTCATCTATGTATTCAGTTGGGGCTGGATGCTATCATACAACTTCTCTTACATGTCGAGGGTCTTGGCTTGGATGGTTGGACCAGCTAGGCCAGCAGGGTGTCTCTCTATGAGGTCTTTCATCCTGGCTTCTTCACGTGGTGGCAGAAGTGCTCCGAGAGAGCAAGCCCCAGTGCACACATGCTCATCAAGCCTTTGCTTGCTGTATATCTGCTGATATCTTCTTGGCTGGAGCAAGTCAATGGTCAAGCCCAGAGTAAATGTGACAGGGACTACACAAGCATATGAAGACACAGAAGTGTGATTCATTGGGAAGCCATCACAGAAGGAAGTTTGTCTTTATAAGTCTGTTTATAATGGTAGTTCTTTCTGTACCTGTGAGTGATTCTACCTCTCATTCTCTCTCTCTTTTGGGGGGAACTTTTGAATATTAATTGATCATAACAATCTATCATTTGTGCACACTATAGAAATATCCAGTTCAAACAGATCTTCATAGGAAGAAAATGCATGCAAATGTTGAAACCAGTTTTTCATGGATCATGAAGCAGAGTTATGCTTTCTGAAAGAGCTTTGCTTGGTTTGTATTACAATTGTATGCAGGCTCAAATGTCCTTAAAATGGGAATGACTGCTTCTGTCTTGTCTGGGGCTTCATGGCCTTCTGAGGAAACGAAAGGATTCACAGTGCGTGAATTTTTTATACTTTCCTCTTGGAAAATATTTATAAATAAAAAAGTCCCATGGAAATATACACAAATGAGCCAAGTGAAGACGTGAGGAAGAACTTCATGTGAACTACGACAAAGTATTATAAAATCTCACAGTAGAACCCATAAGTTGCTCATGTCTGAACAAGTCTTCCCCAAAAAGGACATAATAAAATACAAAGAAAGGCAACTTTAGACTCTCCCAGAGCTATTTCTTTGCCCAGAGATATGACAAGATACTTCTGCTGAGTATGAAACATTTTCTAAACAAACGGCATATTTGTGTCTATACCTTTTTTTTTTTGTTTGGTTTTTAAATATTTTATTATATTTGAATAAAATTTGTCTCCATCACAGTCTGACATGTTTCAAGGATTTAAGAACACTACTCTTAAAACAGAGTCCATAGGCTTCAGACTGCCAAAGATGTCGATGGTACAAAACATGAGGAATCCCTTAACATCAGTACCGCCTGTGGGCAAAAACTCTTCATATATATATGAGCCTGTTTTTTGTAAATATTTTCTGGAGAATAAACACTACTTCTACTGCCAATCTTTCTAAAGGGTCTTTGACTTCCACTGCCAGCAGAAGTTGGGTAATAAATGTAAATGTTGTGGTCTTCCGCACTGACTGGTTTTTCTACAAATGGCTTCTGAAAAACGTCCCTATTTACTTCTACATGATCTTCCCCTTTTACATTCTTTGGTATTATTTGGGTCACAGTTCAAAATTGCATAACAAGGAAGTAAAACACCTTCAGCTTGAAGAATACTATATACTCCTCTCCTATCATGTATAAGATACTGCATATTCACGTCATTGATTACAAATGGATTCCTGAGTTTTGCATAGGCAACCACTTTGTCCTGTGGAAATCCTTTAGAATGGAAAGAAATAAGACAATCACATAAAGCCCAGTTTTCCACTGGTTCACTCAAAATAACCTCCTCTTCAAATACTACTACGGTGATACATTTAAATAAGGAGATCCAATCAAGAATTTCCTTCATTGGTTTGGATTTGGATTTCTTTGCCACGGAACATATTTCAACCACAGTCTGCCTTTCTGGTGGAGAATCATCTTCCTCCTCATTGTCTTCATCTGCATGGTGGAAGAAATGTCGATAATTTCCAGGATTTATTTCTGTATCTTCTGGTCCAACGAAGAATCTGGGGGCTTCACTCATTTTTATTTTATTTGATGTAGATATAATTGAAATGATTTATATTAAAACTGCCTCTAAATAAATAGCATCAGAAGAAAGCATTCTCCATATATTAGCTGACACACAAGTCTGTGACAGCTTGTTTCCGCTTATATAATCACTTGATATTATGAGGACCGTTATCAAATGCTCTTTTGTTCTTAGATATCATTGCTTCATTGTTGATATCAAAGTTGTTGCAATTCAAAATACAAAGACAGTGAGGCTATTGCTTTCTTGAGTGGATATAGCAATCTTTTTACCTGCCATGAATGTGGTTGTCACGCAAACAGTTGTGAGATGGTCAAACCCATTCAGGTCTAGGTTTCCCCCTTTCATCCTGGAGGCAGGGGTGAAGTGTTCGTCAAGGTTTGTGTCTATGTCTGAAAAAAAATTTAATTTAATTATAAAGTATCTTAGGGTTAAAGGAACTCCTATTCTGATTGACTTATAGAGACGAATAAGAAATTCAATAATCTTCAGGAAGGAGAGAGAAAAATTTATATCCTAATGTTTTAAGTGTGCTGACCATTTATAAAAGATTGAGAGGCTTGTTGAAGCCATAACTCAATAAAAGAAGAAGGAGAAGTATGAGGAGGAGGAGGAGGAGTTTACTGTAAATTAAATTAATGGCCTTGGTTCCAAAGTCTCAAGATAAGAGGCAGAAAAATATAAGTAGTTACCAGTTTGGAAAACAGTGGGAGTAGGGGACAATTCTAAGAGAACAGTAATTTTAAACAAAAATTGGAAAGTTTTAATATTTGGCAAATACAGGAAAAAACTGTAAACAATAAGTTTAGGTTATATTTCTATCAAGGTGAATCACTGGACAAATTAAATTGGTTTGGTAATTTGGCTTTAAAAATAGCTATATGTCTTCCCCTGATTTTATCACAGTGTAAACAATGTTAGCATATTATTTTCTCATGAAAAACCTAATTAATTCTGATTTGCTAGATTTTCTATACCAATTTTTACTTCCATTAACTGTTAAAAATTATAAAATTATCATTCAACCATCTTTTGAAAGATTTGCTCTTGTGAGCTTCAGCCAATACCATAAATCATATAGACCTTGTAACTCTACTTATACTACCTACATCAAATTTTAAATATCATATTTCTCTGATGAACTGTTTTAAGATCAATAAGGATTGTGCTTCTCTTTAAGGTCAGTCTCAAACAATTTCCAAAATCTCTGGCTGACTTCAAGACCTTAGACTATTGTTAAACTAATTATTTTCATTATAATAGTCTTTGGTTATCTAGATATTTTCTAAGTAGACCTAAATTCATAAATATAGAATATAAAAACAAGCAAATATAATATTAATATATTAATCATATATATGTATATATCTTATTCATTTACATTCTAGATTGTCCATTAGTTAACATGATAGAAAAAAGATGTGTAAATACCGTTAAGTCATTGGTTTGGCTGTGTCCCCACCCAAATGTCATCTTCAATTATAGCTCCCATAATCACCACGTGTCATAGGAGGGGCTCAGTGAGAGGTAATTGAATCAAGAGGGCAGGTTTTTCCCATGCTGTTCTCAGGATAGTAACTAAGTCTCACAAGATCCGATAGTTTTATAAAAAGGCAGTTCCCTTGCACATGCTCCCTGGCCTGCGGCCATGTAAGACATGTTTTTGTTTTTCCTTTGCCTTCCACCATGATTGTGAGGCCTCTCCAGCCATGTGGAACTGTGAGTCCATTAAACTTCTTTCCTTTATAAATTACCCAGTCTTAGATATGTCTTTATTAGCAGTATAAGAACAGACTAAAACAGTCATGTTAGTATACATGGGTCATTTTTTCTACTTTATAAAATATAGAAAAGATATAGAAGGGTGCTCACAGAACATTAGTAACCTTCACTGGAGTTTATTCAGGGCTAAAACACTTGTCTATGAAGACAGTTCTCAGTTATCTACATCCTAATTGTTCTGTGACTGTGTGCATTCACTAGTTAGTTGTTTTTGTTAAAAGATGTAAATAAAATAATGATATATTCATTATAAAGAGATAAATATGGAAGATAATAGGCACATTTTATCCATTTGTCTATCAAGGGAACTGGTAAAATTTTACTAAGATAGTAAAATAAATTTAGCATATGCATTGTTTTATGTATTAATAAGGCAAGTGTATTTTGAAGCTACAGTCAAGAGTTTTAAATTTGTCATTTAACCATATGTGCATTTATGTACATTTAAAAATATACATACAGAGGTGTAATAAATTAGCAAACAAAAGATATAAATAATAAACAGGGGGATTATTCAGAGAAACAACTGGCCTATGAGTATAGTTGCAGTACCTTTGTCATACTCTTGAATGACTCGTTTAACAAAAGTTAACCTCTGAAAAAACTAAGGTTTCTAACAATTATTCTAATTTGCTTTTAATATTTTTACTATTACAGTGGAGAAAAGATTTATTTCTTCACCCATTACAGGGTTCATGGCTGATACACCTGTAACAAAATACAAACTAACAACAAAAAAAGCCTAACAAATTTATTCAATGTAAGTCTTAACATGACATGAGAACCTTCAGCAATGAAGGCCCAAAGAAATACGGAAGCCTATGTATTTCTATGGACAGTTGATATGGCCTGGCTCTGTGTCCCTGCCCAAATCTCATCTTGAATTGTAATCCAAATTGTAATCCCCACATGTTGCAGGAGGGACATCATAGGAGGTAATTAGAACAAGGGGGTGGTCCCCCCATGTTCTTCTCATGATAGTGAGAGTTCTCATGAGATACGATGGTTTTATAATGGGGTTTTTCCCTTTTTGCTTGGCACTTCTCCTTCCTGCCACCATGTGAAGAAGGAGTAAAGGCTATTCTTGCTATGTTTTAGCAAAGAGACTGGCTGCATTTTGCTCATGCCCTAGAGATCTGTGGAACTTTGAACTTGAGAGAGATCATTTAGGGTAGCTGGCAGAAGAAATTTCTAAGTGGCAAAGTGTTCAAGAGGTGACAGAGCATAAAAACTTGGAAAATTTGCAGCTTGACAATGCAAAAGAAAAGAAAACCCCATTTTCTGATGAGAAATTCAAGCCAGATGCAGAAATTTGCATAAGTAATGAAGAGCCAAATGTTAATCCCCCAGACAATGGGGAAAATGTCTCCAGGGCATGTCAGAGGTCTTCACAGTAGCCCCTGCCATCACAGACCTGGAGGCCTAGGAAGAAAAGATGGTTTCATGGGCCAGGCTCAGGGTTTTATTGCTTTGTGCAGGCTTGGGACTTGGGGCCCTGTGTCTCAGCCATGGCTAAAAGGGGCCAATGTATAGCTCAGGCCATTGCTTCAGAAGGTTCAAGCCCCAAGCCTTGGCCACTTACAATGTGGTGTTGGGCCTGCAGGTACAAAGAAGTCAAGAATTGAGGTTTGGGAACCTCCACCTAAATTTCACAGCATGTATGGAAATGCCTGGATGTCCAGGCAGAAGTCTGCTGCAGGGCAGAGCCGTCATGGAAAATCTCTGCTACAGCACTGCAGGAGGGAAATATGGGGTCACAGCCCCAACACAGAGTTCCCATGGGGGCACTGGCTAGTGGAGCTCTGAGAAGAAGGCCGCCACCCTCCAGACCCCAAAATGGTAGATCCACTGACAGCTTGCACCATGCACCTGGAAAAGCCACGGATACTCAATGCCAGCCCATGAAAGCAGCCAAGAGGGGGGCTGTACCATGCAAAGCCACAGGGGCAGAGCTGCTCAAGGCCATGGGAGCCCACCTCTTGCATCAGTATGACCTGAATTTTAGACATGGAGTCAAAGGAGATGATTTTGGAGCTTTAAGATTTGACTATTCCACTGGATTTCAGACTTGTGTGAGGCCTATAGCCCCTTTGCTTTGGCCAATTTCTCCCTTTTAAAATGGGAGCATTTACCCAATGCCCATACCCCCGTTCTATCTTGGAAGTAACTAACTTGCTTTTGATTTTACAGGCTCCTAAGTGGAAAAGACTTGCCTTGTCTCAGGTGAGACTTTGGACTTGGACTTTTGGGTTCATGTTAAAATGAGTTAAGTCTTTGAGTAACTTTTTGGAAGGCATGATTGTGTTTGGAAATGTGAGAAAGACAAGATTTGGGATGAGCCAGGGGTGGAATGATATGGTCTGGCTCTGTTTCCCCACCCAAATCTCATCTTGAATTGTAATCTGAATTATAATTCCCACTTGTTGGGAAAGGGATCTCATGGGAAGTAATTAGAACATGGGAACAGTCCCATTCTGTTCTTTAAATAGTGAATGAGTTGTCATGAGATCTGATGGTTTTCTAAGGGGCTTTTTCCCACTTTGCTTGGCACTTCTTTTTTCTGCTACCATGTGAAGAAGGACGTGTTTTGTTTCCCCTTCCACAGTCATGCAGAACTGTGAGTCAATTAAAACTTTTTCCCTTATAAATTACCCAGTCTTGGACAGTTCTTTATAGCAGCATGAGAATGAATGAATATAACAGTCACGCAGTATGATTAAAACACAAAGAATATAATCTAATGATAATAAACTGGAAATAACTTAGCAAGGTTGTTTACTCAGACTCTTCTCAGTGTTTCTGTATAATGTTCCTTCCCTTCAGGTATAGGGCAGGACACTTGGCACATGATGGTCTTCAGGGGAGAAAGAAGGTAAGGTCAGAGAGTAACCTTCCTAGATTGTATGGCCTGCTTTAGGAAAGAAGGGAGAGGTGTGAGTGGCCTTCATACTTCTGATGTTTTTTCCAAATGCCAAGGTGCCATATTTTGGGATAGTGTCTCCCAATCCCTGTCACTCTAAACCAGGGATTCTAAGAAATCTGAAGGTGCAGTTCGGGGAATCCTGAATTTTGATGGGAAAAAAATATACATATTTTTTGACATCCTGACTAAAATTTAACATATCCTTGGATTATGAGCATGGGCGAGCAAATAAATTAATACCACTGTAATATTAGTATTGCCTATGATTTTGTCTCAAATGGGAATTATGGATATTTTATAATATAGCTGTTGCAGAGATTGTAATATATTTTAGATTTATGTTATTTTGAAATTACAATAGTTTTTAGATCCCGAGTTATATCAAATGTGATTGCAGTCTTTTTGTCAATAGATGCTCTTGTGATGTAGCTGAGAAACTATTGGGTAATTAACTCTGTGCCTAGTACTTGTTCAGCAGCAAAATGGTAATGTTGCATGTTTTTACAATGATGACCCAGAAATCCTTATTTATCATTGCTTGTTGATTAATGACACAAAGGGAGAAGCATAATTTTCATTCTCCATTAGTATTTTGCAAATCTGGGCAGTTCAAATGAGAAATCTTATCTTAATCCCTAAGGCAACATGACATTTTGAAACACAAATAGGTGTACAGGCTACTTGAAT